GGAAACTACTCGAGTACTACGGCGTACCGCAAATATTCATCAACCTTATTCAACAACTGTACGACAACGGCACATGTCAAGTGATCCACAACGGAAAACTCAGCGAAGCGTTTGGAGTAAACACAGGAGTCAGACAAGGGTGCTTATTATCACCAATGATATTCCTAATTGTGGTGGACTGGATTATGCGTCAGACAGTGGGAAACGAGAAGACAGGGATATCCTGGACCGACGTGAAGAACCTAGAAGACCTGGATTTCGCGCGTGGATGATTTATGTTTGATGTCACACAAAATCGAAGACTTACAAGCAAAAACCGACAAACTGGTCGAAGAAGCAGCAAAGACAGGACTCCAGGTGAACATAGACAAGACAGAGGTCATGAAAATAACCAACCAACAACAACGACAGCAGCAGGAACATCCAGTGCCAATCACCATCAACGGGAGGGATTTGAAAGAGGTTACTTCTTTCACTTATCTGGGGAGCGTTGTCTCAACCACAGGAGGAACGGACGAAGATGTCAAATCGAGAATCGGAAAGGCGAGAAACACATTCATCAACCTGAAACCAATCTGGAAATCTTCGTCACTCACCATCAAAAACAAAATTCAGATTTTCAATACAAACGTGAAGTCAATTTTGCTTTACGGATCAGAAACTTGGCGGGTCACCAAGAATATTTTCAACAGGTTGCAGACCTTTATCAACAACTGTCTTCGCTCCATACTGAAGATTAGATGGCCAGAAAGAATCACAAACAAGAAGCTATGGGAACAAACGAAACAGGAACCAATCGCCCAACAAATATGCAGGAGGAAGTGGAGATGGATTGGACATTCGCTGAGGAGGCCGTTGAGTGACATCGCGCGTCAGGCCGATGCTCGAGTGGAACCCGAAAGGGCAGCGGCGAGTGGGACGTCCAAGGGTGACATGGAGGAGATCGTGTGAGGAGGAGATGAAACAGTATGGAATAACATGGATGCAAGTGAAAAGAACAGCAGAAGACAGAAGCAAGTGGAGACGTGCAGTTGAAGCCCTATGTTCCACTAGGAACCCAAGGGAACAATAATATTCACCAACACAAAGTGAAGCCAGAACTTTCTCCTTGCGTTGTCTACCCACATTGTGACAGTATAGAACGAAGACAGCTGTTGATAAAGGTCTGCAACAGGCTGTTGGAAATATTCTTTGTGACCCGCCAAGTTTCCGATTCGTATAGAAGAACTGACTGACTTGACGTTTGTATTGAAAATCCAAATTTTGTTGTTGATGTTGAGTGACGAAGATTTCCAGATTGGTTTCAGGTTGATGAATGTGTTTCTAGCCTTCCTGATTCTCGATTTGACATCCTCGTCCGTTCCGACTGCCTGTAGTTGAGACAATGCTCCCTATATAAGTGAAAGAAGTAACCTCTTTCAAATCCCTCCCGCTGATGGTGATTGGCGCTGGATTACTGTTTATTAATAACACTTTATTTTCATGCAGATTTTATAAAAATACTTTATCGTCTTTTTTACTAGTTTTTTGTTGTTAATTTTAAATATATCAGGTTTCTGATTTGTTTTAACAATGAACTTTCTGCACTGAATAAGTTCCATTTCCTTTGGAATGAATTCCAATAGCAGGTGAATTCAAATGCATATCTGATTGTTATTTGACCTACTGATTCTTTGTTACTAAAAGCCTTTAAATAGTCGATGTACCCAAACTCTTTGTCTACCTTAAAATTATCAGAATGGAACATTTCCATTTTTTCTTTTTTTTAAAACAACCGTTTTTCACTTTTATTTATTTCTGAATCAACTTATTATCTGGTTAAAATTAAGGTGATCAAAAAAGTTCTGTTTCGGTCGAAATAATTTAATTATAATTGTTGAATCGTAGGTCTGTATAAAAAAACACTAAATAAGTAAATATCAAGTTCAGTTCCCCTAGTATAAAATATGGAATTCTTCAAGTGATTTGAAGATGTCACTATTGACCTTGTGAAATAATGATCATTGGAGCAAATGAGGTTATATAACCCAGAAGTAAAAAAAGATATGCGAGAAATGTATGCACAAGAAATGTTTAGAAGTGTCTTTTATAGTTGATACTTTTAGCTATACCCATTTAAATTGTGAATAGGAAAGATATCTGGCCTCCTACTTAAATTACTGGGCTACAGAATATTTCCCTCGAATTAAAATGCTTAAACTCGTCTGCACTTTTTATTGTTTTAATAGTGCAATTATATTAGTCCCTTTTATAAATTTGGAGAGTGTTGTTATTAGAAGATGGAGATTATTGGAAAATTGTGGTGTATTTTGCGCAATACAAAATTTCGAATAATCTGATCGTATATTTACTTATCAGGTCAATTTATATTCCACACTATTCACCAATTTACGTTGGTATATGGACACATATACTGTGTATTTACCCTTTTCGAACCATGCCAACCGCCGAACGCCATCAATCATCGAGAAAGGAGTAAGAGTGCCCTGTCGTGAATCACCCCAGCGACTGATACAGACCCAGAGCGAACCCCCCTGAGACGGGTTTTCATCAATTTTCTAATATTTACATCTCAAGACACCCTTGGTGCCACCTCTCTCGAGCATAAGACTCTGCTCGAGACTGGCCTCGGCTAACAACTACACCAAGCTGCGCCTCGCGGTAGGGTTACCAGCTCTAACAGCCACCCACTAACCAGTTGTTATTGGCCTGGTCCTCTCACCAAGAATCCCGCATTTCTACCGGCCCCGCCAATGCCTCGTACACCGCCATAAAGGCCAAAGGACGACACCACTGCTTCATTAAGACTGAGTAACCAGACGTGAGTGTTGTCTCATGCAAATGGCAGGTCTTTGCTGGAGCTCGGTTTGCCTGCCGATAAGCCCCAGCCAGCGGTTACCACGCGGAGGCGCCTGCCACATATAACCATAACCTTCGTCCCGCCATTTCCCATGCCCAGTTGAGTTTCTTCACGTTGACACTCAGAGCACTGGACGGAACTGCGTAACCGAATGTAGACTTAACAAGAGAAGACAAAATTGGAAAGCACACGATGGTCTAAGGATGTCGGTCCTCGCATCGCATGCAGGGCCTCCTTGCAAAGCCTCTCATTAGATGACGAGATATTTGGCTACCTTTTAAGTTTATATGTTGTCACGTAAACATAGTAAGTGAGGGTGGGAGAGCATATTCCGAAACATTAAGGAAGACAAATGAACGCTGAGTAATCAACAGACACAGATGCCAGACTATCAACTTCGTCTACAGCCAAAGATCTAGTCGATATGAACCATAAGACTGATGTTAACACAGCTTTTAAGGTCATCTGTAAAGATGTTCAAGGGCGCTTATTGAAATACACTGAGGCTACGGTCCTGTGTGTGATCATCCTTATCTGATTATATAACGAAACGAAGTGTTAACCACTCACATTATTCTTAGATCCTTTTTGTCATATCGTGTACCTTAATTGGCTTTTATTTTATCACATAAATTGAATTGACAAGTAAATGTGCGATCAGATTGTTCGAAATGTATTGTGCAAACACACCACATTATTCTCCGTCTTCTAAAAACAGTATCCAAAATTAAAAGTAGAATAAAAGTTAAATACTGATCCTGAAATACTAATCAAAAACAGTTAGGGGATATCTTAAAGATAATAACCAATTATATAAAATGTTCTGGTGTGCATATGTTTACTTATCTGCCTGACATACTACGATGGTTAAATCAATGGGCTATTAGCCAAGGGATTCTTAGTTCGAGTCGAGATCCATTTAATTTTGTCTAGACAACTTGAAAGCAGTATTTCTGACTCATAGATATTTAGCGTAGCGCACAATTTGATGCGTGACTGGCTGCGTAACCAGGTCATATTCTGTTTTAGTCCATCATTCCTATTCGGGCAATTCGGATTCCACTTGATATGAAGTGCTTCTGACGGTATTAGGCGTTTTTTGCGACTTCTAAAATGCTTTTCTGGATTATTTCAGTATTGTCAAAATCAATTTTGTGACCTGATTCTATAGCATGTAGACCTATGGCTGATGATTTCTCAAGTTTTTCCAGTTCAACTGGATTTCTCGGTGGTCGAAGAGATGCTCTACGGTGTTCATTTCTTCTGATTTTGATTTCACGAGATGTTTGAAACAACTGAAATCTTTGCGCTGATGGGGTTTGATGATTTGAAGTCTAAATATTTATTGGAGTGGGTTTTCTTTCTGAATATGGATATACTTAAATGTCCGTTTTCCCTCCTCTCAACTAGGCAGTCTAGAAACGGTAGTTCACCGATTTCTGATTCCGCTTCCGAAGTGAACTGGATTCTGGGAGATACACCGTTTATTTTCTCCAGGAATGAAGTGTGTAGATCTCGTTTTAGTACTACAAAAGTATCATCTACATATCTTAACCATATTTTAGGAGTGAGTATTCTTGAAAAGATGTTATTTTCGAATTTATTCATGAAAAGGTCGGCGACTATTGTAAACTATGTAAACACACACTGCCTTTATAAATTTAAACACTGATCAAATCCAACAACCTACACTTGATTTTGTCATCTTTACCAAATGACCAACTTGACAACGAAAAATGACCCCAGACTGACGAACGATGATCAAGTTAGTGAACTTTATTTTGATACCATAATAAATGTACTATTACCTTTTTTATTTGGTTTAGTGATCTTCATTGTCATTTTGACTTTCAATATGTTCTTCTAACTTGACCTAAGTCTATTTTCTCACCTCTTAACTCTGTTATGTATATGCTGAAATTTTGTAAATTCCGGTTTAATGTTACTTTGATAAAGCTATTAGCAACAGCATTAAATAGTGAAACGTCAGTAAAAACAATATCGTTTTGTTTTTAATTCATTGGGAAATACGAAAACCTTTATTATAACAAGCAAATATATTTTTATAATGTAGAATACGACTGCTGATTTAAAACTGACTAATTTTCAAAGTATAAAATAACAGAATGAATTGTCAAGTATGGTGAGCTGAATGAAGCCTCTTCAGTCTCATATTTATATGTACATATAACTGTAGAACCTGATGATGAAGTTATCGAAAAGAATATTCTTTGTTCAGTAGTTAATCTTATAATTATATACTCAATGAGTCCTGTCTTCATACCAGCCACTCACTAAACACAAAATAAATTTGTACCGGTTTATTTTCAATTCAATTCTGACTCCCCGTTGATGCTTCAAAAATGTTCAAGTTTGACTACGGATTGATATCGGTTAGATAATTATTGAAAACTAACAGGAGCTACTGGACAGTTGCTTCTTCCTGGTTTAGGACTCACCACAGTACGCACCCACAGCCAGGGTTCAAACCCAGGACCTTTCGGTTACAAGGCAAACTCGAAGACTATCCGAACCTCTGTGGGTGAGTAATGCTGGTAAGTCCCAAAACTGGGATGAAGCAACTGTCCAGTACTCCCTTTTGGTTTTCAATGGTTCTCTAACTGACATCAATCCGTGGTAAAACTTAAATGAAATCAAATCCCTTGAAAATAACTCTTGCCTACTACTAAATAATGCCTCTTTCAATTCGCTAACCTTGTAATAAGTTGTGCAGTCAACACAGATTTTCCTCGGAAGCAAAGACTTTAAAACATATGTAGTAGTCCGTCCATGAAAGCTTTCTGCATCTAAAACTTACTGTAGTTCCACGAATACCATTACATAAGCGGAAGATATTCGTTTTTTTGCATTATTATTTTCCGCATGTTATATACTATTAAGTTAACGTGATGATGGGTTGGATTGAATTCTCCTAACAGTTTGTCCACCTTGATATAAGAATAAAACTTGTGCACTGTGGTAGAGTGCAATACCATTATAGGTAAATTTTGTTTTGATAACGTTTCACAGTCTTATACAGCAATGTTTACTGATGACGTTTCGAGCACAGTTTACTGCTCATAATCATATCAAAATGGAGTTTGTCCACCTGTCGCTTGCTCATACAGGCTGCGAAGATGTAAAAGCAGAATTGCTTCTCTTATATATATATATGTATATATATATATATTACAATGTGCTGTTACCTTCTAGGTTTGACAAATACAAGTTTTCAAGTATTGGTTTTGTAGGGAATTTTGTTTGACTGCATGGAGGATTTCATCATGAGCTGACATCAGTTAGAGAACCACTGGAAAACCTGGGAGTACTGGAGAGCTGTTTCGCCCTAATTTGGCACTCTTCAGCAGTACACACCCACCGAGGTTCGAACCCAGGACCTTCTGGTTACAAGGCGAGCCAGCTCGTAGACCATTGAGCCAATGGGAGACGATCCAATGGCCAGACTATGAATTCTAACTTCTGCCAATTCACGACATAGCGCGACCATTTTGCAATGTTTTCTTTGATGAGTACCTGCCTCATCTTCAACGTGCTGTACCCTACTGATCACAGCTTCCCACTAGAACCCCCAGATTAATTGTTTAACGATGAAATCCTCCATGCAATCAAACAAAAACTCCCTACAAAACCAATACTTGAAAATTAATCTAATGCTCACTAGCCACTGGCCCTATTCAGGCAGTTAACCTGAGGTTCTAGTGGGGAGCCGTGACAAGTAAGGTACAGCAGGTCAAAGATGAGGCAGGTACTCATCGAAGAACACGTTGCAAAATGGTCACGCTATGTCGTGAATTGGCAGAAGTTAGAATTCATAGTCTGGCCATTGGATCGTCTCCCATTGGCTCAATGGTCTACGAGCTGGCTCGCCTTGTAACCAGAAGGTCCTGGGTTCGAACCTCGGTGGGTGTGTACTGCTGAAGAGTGCCAAATTAGGGCGAAACAGCTCTCCAGTACTCCCAGGTTTTCCAGTGGTTCTCTAACTGATGTCAGTTCATGAGGAATTCTTCCAACCAATCAAACAAAATTCCCCACAAAACCAATACTTGAAAATTTTAATTGCCTTATAAAGTATAGGCTAAAACTACTGGATTTATAGTAATAATAATAATAATGATAATGGCTCTATTCTAGACACTGTTTATATAATGTAGGGAATTTTCAGAAGAGTTTAATGTATGATATTTTCTCTTCGTAGAGGATATCTAGATAAAATATTAACTGACACTAAATCCCATGACAGAGCGTTATCCCATCTGAAATGCAAACCAATCCATTATGGTATTTCTTGTTTGTCGACATTTACTTGAAAGCCAACTATAAGAAGTTCAAGAGTACATTTTGAGACCCAATCATATAACTCAGGAAGGATACGCTGCACCTCACGATTATCCTTTTACTCAGCTTCAGTAAAAACTGGCGAATCAGAAGTTTGCAAACACTTCGAATACTCGCGAGAGTAAATAACATCATTAGAGATCATATTTTAACACAATAAAACAAAGTGAACAGGAAACATATGCAGTTCAGTGATGGAGACTTTTTGGTAGTCAGAGTTTTAGGCAGGCCGCCGTAGAAATGCGTAACCTTTGATTAAGTGTCTGCCACATTATCACTGTCTTCTTTTCTTATCTGAAATCATTTTACATTTTCAAATCTTAGAAGATAAATATGGAGTATATACAGTTACATTTATCTTTGTCTAAAATCACTGTTTAATTAAGTATCATTCTGCATTCATACCGAAATAAAACTGAAAGTGGATTCAATTCCTAGTGAGGGGAATAATTCATACGAGTGCGTCGGTGGCACAGCTGTTAGGACTCTTGTCGGCAATGCATATGGTACGGGGTTCGATCTCCTGTCGACGCACACCAGATATCTCTGGTTGGTCTGCAATATTTGGGCTACCGATATCACATGCTGAAAATTCCACACTTGTACCAAAAGTACTGTGTGGTTTCAAGCTAAAATCAAAAAAATACAAAAGTAGGTCCCACTGCACCCCAGTTTCCAGTGTTTCTCAAATCGATATTAAGCTTTTGACCAAGCCGACCTTGTATTCCATTGATAATTAAAATAATAATGTATTCATCCTTAGCTAAGAATTTAGTTGCAAAACTGATAAGGATACTGGTAACCGTAAACTTATGTATCTTTTATTTTCAGTCAGTTCACATCAGCACTTATGAAATGATCGATACGATGTTTCAGTATGATAAATTATCCCACTGAAAACTGATTCTCACCCATTTTTATCATTTTATATTGCCTAGTTGATCAATGTATTCAAAACAACAGTATCAGCAAAAAAGAAGTAAAACAGTGTAGACATAAATGTTCGATGTAATTCAATCAAATCCCTACAAACCGGTAATTGAATATCAATGAGATGCTCACTAGCGAATAGGCGTATTGAGGTTGTTGCCTGGGGTTCAAGTGGGAATTCGTGATCAGTAGGGTACACGAGGTCGGCAGTGAGGACAAATACTTGCCACGGATGACACAGGCTACTGGTCGCTCTATGTCGTGAATTGTCAGGAGTTGGAATTCATAGGTCATTGGCTCAGGTCCCAGTGGATCTTCGAGGCCACCTTGTAACTTGAAGGTTCTAAGTTTGAACATCAGCGGGTGCGTACTGATGAAGAGTCCCAAATCAGACGAAACATCTGTCGAGTAATCCCTGCAGGTTTTCCAACCCTTCTCTAACCAATGTCGGTTGATGACGAAATTCCTTCTTTCCCAGACTTATTACTGGCTTAACGAGGTAAGGGACTGCGCCGGTCGGGAATCGAACCCCAGACTACACGCGTGGTCGGCGAGAACTCTGCCGCTGTGCCACCGTTGTACAGTTAGACAGCTATACTGACAAACATTAGTCCTCAGTTGCAAAACAGGAATTAAGCAGCAGAATTATTTAACCGAAAATTAACCGCAAGAAGTACACTAGAACCAAGAAGAATATTCCCAACAAGGTGGGCTCAAAATTCTGTCAGCAAGAATCACGCAGCAAATACTTCCCGAAGACAGTCCAAGGTCAGAATGACCTAAAGTCACTCAAACAAAATCACAATCGTAAAATAGCACCATTATCAATATGATACACAGTCTAGGAGAAAATGGGATAATAATTCCCAAGTTATTTTGGAATGTCGTAAACAGATCGTTCAGAAGAGATTTTCCAAACAATTTTTCCGATACATCCCACACAATATATCTTTTTTTAAATATATGCATGCTTAAAAATAAAACTCGTCAATTGATACAGCTTTCGTGTCCATTTCAATAATCATATACTCCAGGAAAATGAAACTGATTGTAAGACTGAAATTGAGTATTAATATAAAATGTTTTCATTTTAATTATATTTGTTATTGAATCTTCTATGAACAATTTTTTGTTTTAATTTTCATTCTTTTCTACCATTAGCTGCAAACAATCGCATTGATTATTTTACTCGTACTGTTCTTTACTATAATCGTCGGCAATCTTACTGTACTTGGTGTGATATTCTCACGGAAAATTAAAACTCATATGAAAGTATTCATTATCAACTTAGCGATTACAGGTAAGATAAGCGTATAATCATATTTGATAGTTAACTGTGATTCTTTTTTCCTGTTTAAAAGCTTACTTAATGAAATAGCTAAACAATTCAGTATGAGAAGGAAATACTAATACTAACCATTTGCATAACCGTATTTATAGAAAATATGTCTTAGTTGGAGTTCAAATTTGAGCTCACTTCTTTATTATTATTTTTATTCCCTTGGCTTCAACACTACATTTCCATGTCATCGTGTTCTCTGCAATCACCTTTAGCTGACCCTACGAATGCCAACAAGCTTTCATCTCCTCTGTACACGACCCCCTCCATTTCATGCTCGGACTCAACTCGTCATCCCCATTCCAATCGAAGGCTTGCCGCACGATGCCTTTCTACGGTCTCTTCATCGTGTGTCTGATCAATCTCTACTTTCTTCTGCATATTTGTTGGGTGATAGATTTTGGTTAGTTTGTTTCAAGGGTTTCTTGCTGGGGATTCATTTTAAGCGTCTTTAGTAACCTGTTGGAAAAGCTCTTAGTGATGAGTGCACCATGTATCGCACCCAACTAGAAGTAGTACTGGTGTTGAAAATTCGAGTTTCGTTCCTTATATTGAGTGTATCAGATTTCCGAACTAATTTCAGATTAATAAACGTCTGTCGTGCATTTCCGATTCAGATTTGACTCCAGTCTCTGGTGTTGAAAGGATGTTGAGTATATAAGTGAAGGTTGTGACATCTTCTTAATGCTACCGTTGTGAGTGATTGGTGATGGTTGTTTTTGTTGGTTAGTGGGTATCTTCATCACCTCCGTCTTCTTGATGTTCACTTGAAGTCCTGTCTTCGCTGCCAACCTCTTCTGCCAATTTGTTGGCTTTCGCCTGTAAGTCTTCAAGTCTGTGTGACATGAGACATAAATCATCCACGAAGTCTAGATCTTCTACAGTCTTTTTATCGGTCCAGCCTATTCCTGTCTTCATACTCACCACAGTCTGATGCATAATCCAGTCCACAAGAATTAGGTACAATATCAGTGAGAGTAGGAAATTTTCTTTGTCTTTCTCCTGTATCCACTTCAAAAGCTTCACTGAGTTTTCCGTTGTGGATCATATGACATTGGACATTTTCATATATCTAGTGAATGACATTGACATACGTTTGGGACCCCCCCCCCAATGTTGAAGTATTTACTGAGGCAATTCAAGGTCAGTGTCGTCGAAGTCATTTTCAAAGTCGGTGAAGCTGATGTGGTGATTAGACTGTCATGCTATGCTCTATTCGAAGATGACGCGTAGAACAGTTAGAGCTTGTTCGAGCTGAGTTCTGTACCCAGTGCATCCGATAAGTCCCTCCAGGACTACGCCATTTAGTAGTTTGTTTGGCGTGAACACGGGCATGACTCTGCACCAATTCTTGCAGAGGTGTAAGTCGCCCTAGTAGTTTGATAAGTTAGTTATTCTTTCAATCAGTAGATACCTTTACTTGCTTTCAAGCGTTTCGCAGTAGTGCCGTTAGCATATCCGCTGAGGTTTCTGGATCCATTTTGAGAGCTTTAGGAGGAATTCCGTTTGGTCCTTCTTCAAAGTAACATCTGCACTTTTACTGTATTATATCATTTCTGGTTATCTCAGATAACGAATTAAGGCAATAAGTTAGTTTATTTCAGTATATCATCCACGGCGTAAGTTAATTCCCAAAAGACTCTACAATGATGTATGTAAATTATGGGACGTAAATATTTGATTCCTTCACTACTCTTCAGTTGTACAAGTTTATGAGGAATAAACAAGGTAAATAATAAGATTAATAAATCCAGATGGGTATATGTGTAATTTAAGTACCTAATCATTGTGGGTTTGTGAAGCAGGAAGAACATACCTATCGAGATGTAAATTAGACAGGTAAATATCTCCTCTTTTATTCTAAAAGAAAAGGAGAAATACAAAATTCGTGGCAGTCATATAGATAAATAATTTGGAGTATTTATGGATTTTGTTACTTAGATTTATTTTGTTTCGCCTACAAATAAAGTTGCTGTCAAAAACTTCATTTGCATTCAGAATATTTAGTATAAGATGATGGAATAGATGAAAATGACTCCGATAACCATGATGTGTCGTGCAGTAATGAAAGCAAACACACTTCATATTTTATTTCTTCTGGTATCTTTAAATTGTTCTGTCAATGGAAAAGATTTCCACTACTTTTCGATAAGGCAAGAAAGACCAAACATTCAGTGTAAAATGGCATCATTTTATTTCACGGGTTTCCATCAGCTACCGACTAGGAAAGATAAAAATGGTTATAAAAGAGGCTCTTAAAATGCAAATTCCGAACTCGGTCTTTGTGATTAGATGGTTGGAGGCAATCGGCAGGAAGCCTTGGCTGTACCTAGGTTTCGTACTTGCTGACACTCACCAGCAAGTGATTTTGAAGGAACGCATGCCTTGAAACTCGAACCTGTATTACCTAGTTCTGCAGTCAAAGACGTTACACCTGAGCTATTCGCGCCCTCTGCTGACCTCTTGTAGGACTGCAGTGGATACTTTTATCGGACACTAGGTAGTAATTAACTGGTGTCATGCGTCTAGCCTTTTGTTTGATGCAGACTGAATTCTATTAGTCAAGTTTCCAATATGGTCGCCGTGACAGGTGGCTCACCATCATGATCCACTCTGAATTGTTGTTATTAGATGGTCGATCTTCCTTTCTATATCGAGATTTGTCATGAAATTTCTAATACTGTTTAGATAGCCTTATTATGCCTTGTCCACATTCTACTGTCATCTGGTTAAGCAGTTATCGTGAGTTCCTTACACATCAACTCTGTGTTTAACTTTTATTATCAGTATGACGAAACATGACAGATAAGAGAATTTTTTAAATCACAGCATAACAGCCAGGAAATAAGGACTTCTTAAAGGGGATTTAGCATTAACGCAATACTATCTCTGTCTACTAAACTGTTACTTACGAATGATGGGGCGAGGTATATTAATACAGTAGTCTTCACTGTAGTACTCACTATTCTATTTGTACGATCGGCCCTAAGCTAATCATGGTTATTTTTCTATAAAGAAAGGAAGACGAAATTTGCAGTATAAAATGATATCATTCTATTTCACAGGTTCTCATCAGCTGCAGACTACCTGAAATTACAATGGTTATATAGATGATAATAACATACTTTAATGTTTGAGTGGTAGTAGAGAAGAGATACTATAAAACTGACGCATCCAAAATGAAAGCATTACAATTTTTAGTTTAAGTTTTCATTATCAATTTATACGCTTTCAAAGTTGAAAAGAGGGGGGAATGGTAAGACAGAAAACAGAAAAAATTAATTAACAGAACAGTGTTAGCTTGTAGGTTCACATAGCAACTCAAAAAACAAAAGCGGTTACAGTTTATGAGATTTTTTTTGAGTCTTTTGTCAATCACAGAAGATTGACAAAAGACTGGAAGGTGCAATAAAGAGAAGCTTCCCGGCAGCAAAACTCATAACATTATACATCACTTCTTCTATAAGCCACTCAAAACTGAATAAATATCCTGCTGATGTCACCTCCAACTGCGTTTATGAATTAACGTGCACTTGCGGGAGCAAGTACATTGGAAGGATGGAAAGAAGGGCTTCTATCCGGTTTTCTGAACATATTCCAAGAAACCTGTGCCTGAAAGGAAGCAAATATTCTCAGAGTGAAATTACCAGACATATTGTTGATACTGGACATCTCGTAGAGATTTCTAAGTCCTTCAAAATATTAAATAGACAAAGGACAGCAAATTTACTACGATTTGCCGAAGCGATCGCAATCAAACGATTCAAACCAACCAGACTTATGCATACAGAAAGAGAGTGTGATTAACCTCTCACTCCCTTGGTAACTGAATTTTGATTTTGATTACATTAATTAGTCATCTAATTCAGTGATCTCAACTCACTGAACAAATCTTAATCTCATAAACTGTAACCGCTTTTGTTTTTTGAGTTGCTATGTGAACCTACAAGCTAACACTGTTCTGTTAATTAATTTTTTCTGTTTTCTGTCTTACCACTCCCCCCTCTTTTCAACTTTGAAAGCGTATAAATTGATGATGAAAACTTAAACTAAAAATTGTAATGCTTTCATTTTGGATGCGTCAATTTTATAGTATCTCTTCTCTACTACCACTCAAACATTAAAGTATGTTATTATCATCTATATAACCATTGTAATTTCAGGTAGTCTGCAGCTGATGAGAACCTGTGAAATAGAATGATGATATCATTTTATACTGCAAATTTCGTCTTCCTTTCTTTATAGAAATTTATCAAGGGAACCAAATGCATGGTTTTTTTGTCTGTTAAATAATTAGATGCAGGTGAACTGTACAGTCAGTCATAGCAAAAAACAATATCAGCAAGGATAATCATTGGAGAACTGAACTATGATGACGATTGTAAAATGGTATTCAGATACAATTCCATACTAGATAACTTTATTTAATAAAACGCACAATGATACAGTTTTAACAACTGAATGATGCGTCGGGAAGAATCTATCGCTTGACATGCTCATTCTCTATATGACAGTACCATGAAGACTTCCACCTACTTATTAGTCGCACTATGATAATTAGATACACTGGAATGTCTGTTATTCAAATCAGGAATAATTCTAAAAGTTTGTTATTCAGTGGTGATAGTTTCATTATTTATTCGATTTCCTTATCAGTATTTTCCGCATGACTTGTCAGATTTCTGACAGGATTACTCAACAAAAACCTGAAGACACACTTGATGATTTTAGATTGATTGACTCAAAATTAAAGCAAATATAAGAATGTAACGGAGTTTTGTAGATGTTGTCTATTGTGACTGTAGCAATAGAAGATAAGGGCCAGGCGACAGATCGTTTGTTTAGAAAATCAAGAGATATTTATAGATTTTTATGTACATTATAACTAGCGTTATTGATAGCAGAGAAGCAACGTCTTCTGATTGATTGTTTTCTTGCCGAAGGTTATTCTCTACTGCTTG